CAGGCCACTCACTGTATAGCAGGCCCCACCCAAATGTATTAAAAAAAAAATGTGGCCCCCCACCCCGTTGTGTCTCACCCGGCAGGGGCTTGTGAAGCAGGCCCCTGTAATGCAAGCTCTGCTCGTTGATATATGTATATCAAATTTTACATAATGCATTATATAATGCTGCATGACAATCTATTATTTGTCAATTTAGAGCTTGTTTGAAAGAACTTAAAATTCAATTAAAATTGAAAATATAGCCGTTATTGAGTCTCACTCGTCTAATAAAAGTCAACAATAACGATTAATTTTTTAATTTTAATCTCTACCAAACATTCTCTTAAAATACAATCAACATTTTTATCCAATGATATGCTCAAGAAAAATTCGGACCGGAAGGAATGCACCCTAAAAAATAGAATGTTTTGAAGTTAAAAATATCATGTTTGCTAAGCTTGAAATAGTGTGCTTATAAAATATAAATTATAGATATTAGGAAAAAAAAAACTTTATTTTAAAAATAAAGACGTGTTAATATTAAAATAGATTTATTTTACATAAGAAAAACGAATATTATTAATCGCATGTTTGGCTTAGTTTAAAAGCTTAAAAATCGTGTTAATAAAAATATTTTTAATTATATTGTTTTAAAACTGACTCGAAAATGAAAGTAATGCGCATACATTTATACCGAAATGAACGTTAATGCCTTTCGCCTTCTCCTTTCCCGTTCAATCACCTGTTCAAAATCGTCTCCGCCGCTGCCTCTTCTCATCCACTGCCGACCACCTGTAGAAAACACATATAGATATATATAGAGAGAAAGAAAGAAATATAGAGAGGGAGGGGGCAGGTGCCTGGAGATAGAGATTGGAAGGATGATAACGCGGTCAAATTTGGCGGAGCAGCTGAGAGAATATCAAATTCGATCCAAACACGGTTGGGCTTCCGTCTCTTTCTTCTCGTCCACCTCCAATCTTACCTCCTCTAGGTATTTTTTTAAATTATTTAATACTTATCCTTTTCATTATCTCTTTTTCCTTTAATCAATTGTTCTTGTTTGTCTCTTCTTGTTACTTAGGGTTTCCTCAATCCTGATATTGGTGATTGTATGCTTAATTTTCCTTTTCTCTTCATCTTTCATGCTGAAATTTCGGTTTTATAATGCTAGGATTAGATCAACTAGGATTTATATTTATGCGAGTTTTTGACTGAACAAGGGGAGCATTGAATTGTGGTGTCAAGAAAATCAAAATCATTAAGGCATTATTATTTGGAATAGAAATTTGATCTCAACATATATATTGCTGTCTGATTATAACGACAGGAATGGTTTCTGGCAATGCCAACTTGTTTGGAGCTATTAAGATTCCATAAGTAACTCGTAACAGTCTTAATTCGAGGTATGTCTATACGTATGGTTATTTATTTTAAAAATAATAGGAAGTGAGACAGAAATCTTTGGAGCATACAAGAAAATAGACCAATAAGCACCCCAGATATATAATTAAATTAATGGGTCAGTGACACCTTCAAACCAGTATTGTCTATCCGAGACTGTAGAGAATAGTCACAATAAGGTTTCCATTTGTTTTATTAGAGTTCTTTTGTGTTCACTATGAAAATTTTGAACATCATAAATTTCTGCGTTGAGTTCAGTTAAATAGAGCTGTTGTTATATACGTTAACGAATATTAATATAATGGAAAAATAAATACTTGATTAATTGGGAAAAATCACTACTTTTAAGTGTTTGCTGGGTGACAGGGGAGAAGACTGTGTGGACTATCATTCATACAGTTTATGTTCAATTCAAATTAAGTTAAATCGGTAAGGGCTGTCAGATGTGGGCAAATATCTGAGCGTTAAGTTCAGAAAAAAAACAGTTTTATGCTTAAAAGACGGAGGATTGATATGCCCCAACCTGCATAGATACTTGAGTTATAGAAGAGACCATGCTACATAATTTTATCTATTTTGAGACTTACATATCAATCGTTCCCGAGAGACATTCTCTAAGATTGCATTCAATGGCTAAAATTATAGGAAAGATAAGGTGCTTAATTGAAAGTGTGCGTATACTTATATTAATAGAAGAGATCCACTTCCTCATGTTGTAAGATTTTGGTTTAGAAATGCTAACAATCCATGGAGTTCAACAATCCTCACTTTAGTTATGTTTCGCTTTCAATAAAATGTCTCTCAAATTTCTATTCAATCCGAAGGTAGTTGAATTTATAAGAATCTGTCAATAGTCAGACAAAAAGCATTGTACATGTGCAGTATGCGTAGCGAAATGGCGTCAATGGAAAAATAATAAAATACATGCTAAACCTATCTTGAAATGTGTCTGGTTCTGCCCATGTTCATCACCAGAGCTTCTCTTCATTCACTCAAATCACCTCTGATTCAATCCTCACCGCAACCAAACACTTTATTCCCCATTACCACCGCTAACTTCATTCCTTTACCGTCATTATCATAGCTTTTGACCACTGCTGCCACCACCTTTTTAGATCCCCAATCATTTGCTGCAGCACATTAAGTTGCTTTTGTTCGTCCCAGATCACCGAAAATACATGGTTCTCCAGTTAAAGCGTCTTTCACTGTGAATATTCGTAATTGGACAGTAATAATGCTCAACTGCATAAATTTTGTAGATCATTCTAAAAGGCAGATGAAACTCTGAGTTGATAATTAGATTATGACCTCTTCTCCGGAGTTCGTTTTTAGCTATCTATTTCTGCTCTGATTTCTCTCAAATCTCATATGTTTCACTTTCTATTTCACAGACTTCAATTTAAACCATTTCAATCTAAATTTTAATTTATTTTATTATTTGCTTGATTTCTAACAGAAGGAAAGGCATCTTTAAGTTGATGTGGAATTAGGTTGGTGAAGGTGGGAGTATCAAGTTCAAGGGGCAGGCGGTGACAGTATAGTTGTTAGGTGGATAAATGAACACACATAACGAAGAAGAAATAAATAAGATATATGGGATTTAATTTGCATAAGCTGATAGCAATGGTCCTAATGGAAGATGGAGCACTTAGAAAAATAAACTAAGGTGCCTTTTCATGGTTGGACGGAAAATTTGCAGGCACGGACTGTTTTCACTGGAAAATAGAAATCCATATGGAAAGTAATTAAATTTTGAATAATGGGTTTATTTTGGGTACATGTGAAAGTCAATTATGTTTTATTTAAATTCAAGGTGTTACAGTGTTACTTCGATTACAAATTGGAATGATTCGTCAGAAAGAGGCAGAAACTTGAACTCTTACAATATGTGGATCCCTCAATTCTAAAACACACACATTCCGATATATTTGATTCATTGAATTTTGAGAAGGCGAATAGTCCCCACCTTCAACATACACACACACAAAATTGCACTAAACATTGTCATTTGAATAAGTTGCATTACACACATTAATGACCAGGTTAATGGATCCATAAGCTTATATTGTGGTCTAATCACTGCTGAGATGGGCTTTTTATGCATAGCATGGCACATGTACTACCCATCTGGTGACCATATTGTTGTCTATCCTCTGTTTTCTTATGTTCTAGAAATTGGATGTTCAATGTGACCTATGTTCTAATCTTGATGGTTACATAGTGGAACTAATAGTTTTAGGGCTCGTTTGACATGACTTTTGAAAAGTCAAAAGGAGCTTTTGAGGCCCAAAAGCCGTTTTTGAACCTGTTTAGCTAATTTTATAAAAGTGCTTTGGATAGTTAGAGGGGTTTTTAGAGGAAACTCGTCTATTATGGCTTCCTTTTAAAGCACTTCTGGAATGAGGAGTACTTTTAAAAATTAGTTTCTGAACACAAATTAAGATGACTTTCTCTAAAAGTTCTTCTACAAGAAGTAAAAGCAAAAGTAAAAATCGTGCCAAACTGGCCTTTAGACCTGCTAAGGTCTTTTCTTTGATGTGCACACATTGTGTTTTTGAGTTTCTAAGATATTTCTATAATTGAAATTTCTTTTATGTGCACACATCGTGTTTTTAAGCTTTTAACATATTTCTATAATTGAAATTCTAATTGGTTTTTGAAGACATTTACTAAATTTGAAAGATCTTGGACTTGTAGTTTGTGTTGCTTGTTATTTTCATAAAATATGTTGTAACTGTTTCATATTTTCTATATATTTATTTCCCTTTTCTAACAAGTTTATCATGTGTGCTTACGCATCTCGAGATGTCATTTCTCATATGCTGTGTTTTCTGGATGTAGGGTGGATGTTGCTATCTTCGTGATATGGGAACTCATCATTTTAGCGTTCCTCGTTTTCTCTGCCATTTCTTTATATTTTAGACATTTGAGGCTTGCTGTTATTTTGATATTTATTACAATGCTATTGCTTTTATGCATGAAAATTACAAAGCAAGTAAGACTGGCCAGGAAAAGGAAGCGAAGAATGCTTCTTCCATTATCGATGTAGAAATCAATGAAGTAAAAACTCCTTTTGCAATCATGTAGCTTGTGAGAATCCTTGGCCATTGCTCTTGGTTATCTTTTCGTTTTTTTTAAATTCAATTTCGTAGTATATGTAATTGCACTTAAGGCTAGCTGATTTAAGAATATAATCGATATGATTAGTTCATTATGAGATGGATAAGGTAGTCGGTTCTAGTTTGAACAATTTTGATGTTTTGGTTTGACTGGATTAATCACCTCTTTGGCTGCATTGGTAATATCCTCTCTTTCTGAATCTCTTGGTGGATTTATCTTGCTGGGGACTGTAGATTTGGTGTTTGTACTGGCATTATATGTCCTAATTACTGTTTTATTGTCCAATTCCTTTGTATGGAAAGACAGACCATATTTGTTGTTATTGAACAGACTATCAAATGTTGCACCCCATCAATTGTATACTATTTTCAGATGTTTTGATTTCACATACATAGTGCGCCTTACATTTACTTTGTTCATTTGATAAGTTGCCTACATCGGAGAAGTCAGGAAACTAGCTTCTGCCAGGATTTAAGTTATAATAGTCGACCAACTCACTGGGGCTTGAAAAAGTGGACTTCTATTCCTTGTGTCACTAGAGTCCATATTGCTCCGAATACTAGTAGAAAGCTTAATATCATTCCTAGAGATCCAAGTGACCAATTGAGATACCACATTGCACTATACTTTTCGGGTTTCTTGATAGTAATCCACATCAAGCAGGGATATGCTAAAGTTACTGGTAATGCAATTCCTCCTATCAGTCCAGCCAAACTCGGCAAGAATGGGAATGCTATGGCTATGAGGAGTACAAGGCATCCAAAGAACACGCGAAGCAATATCCTAACCCACCACGGACATGGTCTGTTCCGGTTGCTAGTGTACCTGAACTCGAGATTGTCAAAGACTGGCATTGCGTATATTTGGAAAGAGGTGAGGCTGTTGATCACAACCAAGAGGCTTGTTAACCCCAAAATTGCCTTGCTTATGTCATGTTCATGATACTTATCCAATGCACTCAAAATCCCGCCATTTGCAGGCATCTGGTCATAAAGTGCATGTCATCAAGGAATATATAGTAAGCTAGATTACAAAGATAATATATGGAATGGAGAATTACCAAGTTCCCATATGCCCAATAGCCTCCTATTGCCAGTGGAAACAAACAGCAGGCGATGATTAGATATGAAAATTTCACCCCTTTCCACATTGGCAGATTAGATTGGTGCTGTAGACTTGATGGCATGGTTCCCTGCGAAATTAACTCCAAATGTTTACTGTGTTGGGGCATCATGAGGTACTAATCTCCCGATTGACCCTCATTATTTGAGATTATAATTTTTGAAATAAATTTTTTTTTGAAGTATGTGTGGTTAAAAAAGAAGCAAAAATTTTGAATTTACGTGTAATATTTTTTATTTGGAGAATGTGTGGTTGATAAAAAGAACGATTATAATTTTAATGGGGGCCAAACAGGAGCTTATACTTTCGACTTTCAATAGCAGAAAAAATTACTTATTTAAATTTACTAATCACAATCGACGTAGGACCCAGAAATGTGCTATTATATTCATTAATATATGTAAAGTATCTTTTGGTTTTTTGGTTTTTTTAATTGAAGAAGAGATAAGATTTCAAACCTGTATTTCCAAGGCAAGATTGTGGCCCCTAAAAGCAAATGCAATGATTCCAAGAGCGTTAAGAATGCTGCAAGTTTTAGCAATATCCGATTTGGTCTCTAAGGGCTCATAGGATATGCCATTTGGCCTGTTTTTGGTGACAGACAAAACCCACGTTAGAGTACAATATGTAACTGCCGTGGCAGCGCCAATCAGGGATACTCCGGCGATGGAGTTCAAGTTGGGAAGTTGAGCCAAGATCACGGCTGAGCAAGTGAAAATAATGTACCACACAACGGTGGTTATCGAATCTGCATTGCATGTAGGGTTGCTACACACAATTTGGAAGAAGATTTTTAAGGTGGCGCCGCCAATCATTATTAGGGTTACGCAAGTGCCGCCGGAGAGATACATGGTTGGGAGAAGAGTCGATAGCTTTCCCAGTTTATTACCTGAAACAATATCCTCTAGGTGTATTAGTTGTCTTGATGAACAAAAGGATCCATGCCATAATATGTAGCAAAGGGCCTGTTTGGCATGTTTTTGAGAAGTCGGAAGCAGTTTTTGAAACTGTTTAATTAATTTTATAAAATCATTTCTTCTAGTTAGAAGAACTTTTAAAGAAAACTGATCTAATATGACTTCCTTCAAAAGCTTTACAAGAACAGGAAGATCTTTCAAAAATTAGTTTTCAAACATTAATTAATTTAACTTTCTCGTGAAGTTCTTTTATAAGAAGTAAAAGTAAAAACAAAAGTCCTGTCAAACGAGCCCAAAGTCTAAATTAATATAATTTAATTATTAGAGATAATAATTAGGGATGATCATTAATTACCAAAAGCAGCCATTGAGAGCCCGAGGTAACGGCTATAGCGAGTTCCAGGGACGGATTCATGGAGTTGTATTAATAGCCACAACGTGTATAATTGCCATACAAATGCCAATGATAGGCATATAATTCCCCATGTCCTGCAATGTATCAGTTCATAGAGAAACCTAATCAGACCTTAATTATATCAAATCGTATTTTATTTTTTATAGTTTAAACTTTTAGATATAGGAAGGTCGTTTCACTTAATATCAAATAAAGTAAAGACATTAAGCAGAGATCTCGATGCTATCGTATTTATGAAAACTGTACATATGTTGAGCCTTTGTTAAAAATGAGCTTTAATTAATTGCTGTGATTTTAAGAGAATAAACTTTAACCATGTTAAAGAAAGCATAAGATATGTGATTGTTTCAAAATTGTCATATGGCTTCAATAGTTTTAACAGAAAATTGGACAGGGGCTAAAACCCAAAAAGAAAAAATTTTTACACGTAAAAAAATTTGTTTTACTCAGGATTTGGGTTGGAGGGACGGGCTGTAGCAGAGACTGGCCAGTCCCTGGATCCGCCCCTGCAGATCTAGACAGAAGTTGATGACATGTATAATTGAAAAGTTGATAAAGTTCTGAATCCCATGAAACGTTTAGTCAAAATTGAAATTTCGCCGGTTGAAAACAAAGTTTTATCAAAGTAAATCTCAGAATTAACAAAATCAGAGTACCAATTAAGAGAAGCAAACACCCATGTTTGGCCATGTTTTCAAAATCGACTTATAAGTAAATAATCCAGTTAGATAGGTTAAGTTTATCATTATTTCTTTAACACACTGAAGGTCATCCACCCAGTGGCGGTTCGTTTAAGGAGAAAAATATTTATAATCATCAAAATTAGATTAGCAATTAGCTACTTATTTTTAAAACAATTTTTACATTTTATGTCAACTTCCAACTTGTAGTCGAAAATTTATTTACTTACCAACCAAGGGCAACAAAAGCAAGAGGAAGAACAAGGGCTTGAATTCCAATTCCAGAACTCAGGGTATGAAAAGCAGCATAGTATGCATTCCCATTTCTTGATTCAGTAATTGGAAGCCAATCGTCTTGTGAACCAAGCTTTGTCAGATGACTAATTTCTTCAAGGTAGCTTTGCATGCTTTTCATGGCCTTTTTCGTCGGACTCGCTAAAGGTGTAACCACAGCAAATGGGCTTTTAGGGTTCGTCTGATTAACTGAACCATAAATCAATGGTGATCGAGTGAATTGGTATGGTGGTGCTGAGATCACCTGAACGGTAGATTCTTTTCCAGATGGGTTTTTGATGATCGTTACTGGGCTTGAGTTTACTTCCACTACTTCACTCATTTTTGAATGATTTTGAGTTTGTGTATGTAATTACTGTGGGAGGTTCAGAGTGAGAATGTAATTGAATGATTTGTGTGTATATGTAGAGAATTTGTTTTTTTTTTTTTTGAAGGGTATGGTGGAAACTTTGACTAACCCGGCCCACTTTGGCTGCTATTATTTCAAATTAATTAGATTATAAGCAAAAAAGTGCTTTACAAGTTCTATAATTTGTTTGGTTTAATGCAGACGCCATGCAGATTACACTTCTCTTTTTCATTATATATATACATGCATATCGCTTCTCTTTCAATTTGACTTGAACCACCCATGAAATGTGAAACAATGTGAACGAGTAGAGAAAAACATAACTTATGAGTCCTATAAACTATATGGATAAAAGTTGTGAATTCTACAAAAGTACGTGACTAACACTGATATTGACCAGCTTATAAGTTTTTTACAAACATATAGGGACTATTGGGACAAGTGACATCGTGTGATGTTTGCTTTTGGGACAAAAAATTTTTATGCCTCTCACCGGTATAATCAATAATGGTTGGACGGGGTCCCCTATCTCACAAAGTAGCTTTATGGTTATCAATCAGATTATAATATTGTACGAACTTACGATAATATGAATTAAAATCGTTTCTTCTTTTTCTTGCTAATGAAGATTTGGAATTTTATGCATATAGTTCCACTAGCATAGAATTGACAGGAAATTTCTCATAGTGCTTTGGCCACAAAACTCGCAATACCATTTTTATGTCCTTCCAAGTTGATCTCTTTCTAGGAAAGTACTTAGTTTACTAACCCACTTGAATTAGAAACTAACTGAAGAGTACCTTTAGTTGTAGGGTACAATTAAATATAATTTCAATAATTGTATATAAAAGATTGTGTCTAGAGACATATTTATATCTTTAACACGTTATATGGTCCCAATAAAACTCTAACTACACCACCTTAAAGTAAGATATGTACATTCTTTATCTACTACACGTTTGCAGTGATGCAATGTGATGATGAACTTTAATTTGATTAGGACTGACCTAATATATTCATTTGATATATTGGAGGATAAAAATTGGATAGGGTCGAGCTGCGATAAAAAGTTCACAGTTGTTATATATAGTAATAACAACACGTGGAAGAGTCGATATAGGAATACGTTCCTCACTAACATAATCATAGATGACTCGGAAATTGTGCAAATTTAGCAAGCAACACAAATACTTACAAATACTTACTTCATTGTTATAAATCATATTAAACATTTAAACTAGATCCCTAAATACGAAAGGACGTATCTGTTATATTCAATGAAAACCTAAATTTCCTAATGATAAATCGAAATCCCTTGCATGATTCGTTACATACGATAGTTTGCAAGTATTTGTCGAACACATTCCAAAAATTATAAATTTGTGTCAAATTGGAATTAGTTACTAATCTCAATAGGAAAGTACTTCAAAATTCATATAAGCAAAAATTTAAAGTACATATCCTTGATCACGAGCCATACAATTATCACTTCGAATAAGAAAATCCAATAACCTTCTTTTGTTAGAATGAAAAAGAAAAAGTGGAGAGGCTAGGACAATGATATGGATATCATTTTGATTTAATGCTTATTAAGAAATATTATAATTATAGCATAAAACCTTTTTACATCGTAACAAAGAAACCGTTCCGAGATAAGCCTTCGTTTGGCCCCATTAGAAGAAAGAGAAAAATGAATTATAATTTTATTGGGGGCCAAACGAAGGCATAGTGAATGAACAAAAACTTTGTAACATTATCTTCTTAGTAAATTATTGTTTATTTTTTAGTTTTAGTCATTCACTTTATTTTCTATGTTAATTGTCTCTATTAGTTATTTTTGGTTTATTAATTTATAACTATATGCTATAGTTTAGTACAGATAATCTCGTAAAAAGATTTGTTGGTTGTGTGTCCGGGGCGAACGCAGAACTTTAAAGTTAGGAGGGCACAATCAAACTTGTAAAGAAGTTTGGAGAAATTTTACAATAGAAAATTTAAGTCCAAAAAAATCATACCCCGTGTAATTTTGTATCCGAAAATTTACATGAGATGTAACTTTTTCGGATGTAAATTTCGAAATTTTGTCATGTTAAATTCCATATAAAATTCCTAATAAAATGATAAAAATTATATGTAGAAATTTGTATCTCAAAAATAATAAATGTTAATGAAATAATTGAATTTTTTTAAAAAAATGCGAGTTAGACATCTTTCTTTAAAACTCACTNGTAGATTCGATTAGCGTACGAATGTCGGAGAATTTTTAAAATTAGCATGTTATCGAAATTCAAATTTATTGTGATTTTGCCCCTATTTGGTGGAGATTAAAATCAAATTTTTAGTAAATTTTGATAAAAGTTAAACAGTTATAGATTTTATGAAATATGTTATTAAAATTAATTGTTAACTTTGATTTATATTAAAATTTAGATTTCAATCGATACCAAACATGACTTTAAAAATAAAAAAAAATTCTCAAAAGTTGGGGGCACGTGCCCCCGAACCCCCGGGTCGGCCAGTGTGTGTCCAAAAGACACTAATCACATCACTTTAACCTTTAAAGTGAAAAAATAATTAATGGACTTTAGTTGTCTATGTTACCACCTGTTTGCAGTGATGCAATATCATGATGAAAAATATTGCATTCATTCTCATTATAATTTTTTTCTAGCATTGTATTTCATAAGATATTCTACAAGAATTAAAAGGGGACAAAGTCGAGTTGCAACGGAAATTTCTATTTATAGTATGTATAAGAGTCGAAATACGAGTAGGTCCCTTTCTAACGTTAGATGATCCATACATGACGAGAAATTAATGTGCAGAGTTAAGCAATAGCACGTAGAGTGACAAATAAAGAATTTGCGTCATTATAATAAAATCACATTGATCTTTTTAAAAGTCTAAAATACCTAACGATAAATTGAAATTTCTTACATAATTAGTTACAAACACACTTTTAAATAAGAATTTGTCGCAAAAGGTTATGTAAACCGAAACCCTACTGATAGATAAGGAACACTATCTAATTAATCCTTAATACGTAAATTTAAATTCGGATTAGTAACCAATTCCATCATGAGATTACTAAAAAAGTCACACATAAGCAAAAAATCTTAAGTTCATATCCTCGATCACGAGCCATATAATTATCGCTATTGAGAAAACCCACCAACATTATTTTGTTAACGAGGTAAATTTAGCTTTCTTTTTAATAAATGTTCATGAAATATTTCGTATGGAAGAGAGGTACATGATATGTTTGTTCATTGTTGTATTTAATATGATAAATATATACTAAATAAAATTGATTATATGAACTTTTTTTGTTATATTCGATTAATGTATCTGATCCCGAATCTTAATAACTTCGTTTAGTTCAATAACTTTTCAAATGGAAAGTGCCTTTTTTGTTAACTTCTTCTTTCTTTTTTCGTGGCGAGGTTACAAAAGGAGGATGATGAATTTTATTTTTGAAACCTATGTCATAACTAATAATTTATAAAATCAAAACGACTCCACAAATTAAAATTAAAATAAGAAAGGGAAAATTGATGCCCCAGGTGTAGTGTGTTCATAGTACACAAATAATTTTCTTAACTTTGGAAAAGTTTTGCTAGTGACTTATATGTCACTAAAGTTAAAGTGATGAGACTTTGACAATTGGGGAAAAAGACAGGAAGTGTGGATAAATATTTTTATATACAATCATGCTAGAAAAACAGGGAAAATTGATAGGAAATTTTTGACAACCACACTTGGCGAGATTTCATTGGAAAGTGGAGCTTTTTTTAAAAACACGTGCGAATCACAGGAAATTTTTGACAAACACACTTGGCGAGATTTCATTGGAAAGTGGAGCTTTTTTTAAAAAAACGGGCGAATCACAGTCTGCCACGTCGTGTCGGTTTCCAATCCCTGTCACCAAACCCTGTTTGAGTGGCTTTATCCTTGTACATAATCACTGGAGGGTGTCCTAACTTTTTTTTTTTTCCCTCCCCTTTCATCTTCATTTCGTGGTCAAATGAAGGGCAAGATGTAAAACTGTGTTGAGTATCTGGGTTCAGGTCGACTGGATTCATTTACACTTCATGAGGAGGAAACGCAAAGGCAATCTTTAGCTCTATTGATGGGAATTATCTGATAAAGAAGTCTTTATGTATGACTATATCCATATAAGAACTTCGATAAATATTAGAACGAGTCTTAATAATTAATAAGAGTGGTCGAAAAAAAAATATAGTGTTTTTCATGCAAGTTAGCTCGCTCGTCAACTCATGTGCGAGCCGTCTCATCATAAGTGAGTAAAAAACGTAAATTTACTATAAAAAAATTGCACAACCGGCTAGGCTCACTCTACTAGGAGACAAGTTCGTGGTGTGAGCCGAGCCACACATCAACGAAAGAGAGTTGGCACGCAAGTAAGCACGAGCTACATCATGTGGTTGATCAAGTCAAGCCAGCGATAGGTGACACGAAAGACTCGCTTGACCCATATAACACCCTTAGGTCCAATCCAAAATATGCCAAGATAGGATTGACCAGCAATTTGGGCTTTTCATAGACAAGTTGAGAGAACTTGATCGACAATTATTTTGACACTGCTATTCGACTTATTATTTTCTTCACGATAAAAATAAATTACTATTTAAAATTTGCTTCTCTGCATGATAAACAGTATTTTATGTCTAATTAGTATTCATTGGGCACCAGCAGCCATTAATTTCCAAATTTCAAGTTTTTTACACTGAAGATAAAGTGAAAAGACTTGGATACTTTGGCAAAAGGCAAGTTGGTTGATTTCTATGTAAAGAAATTTAAAGGGCAGCTTGTAACCACAAAGAAAACGAGGGTATTTTAGTCTCCGTGCATTTTATATTGGTTAATTATATTACCACCACAAAATTTACTTAAGCTATGTTTGATAGCTTGAATTTTCCTTGGAAAATGAAAACTTTTTCCTTTTCCACCCT